AAGCAAAACTCGTCTCAACGTGACAATTCAAATCATGACAGTAAATATTATACACGTATAGGTATGTGTGTGTATACGCGTTGAGAATAAAAAAAAAAAAAAAATGCACAAAAAAAAACAAAGTGTAAGAAGAGGATTGGGGGTTGGATGGTAAATCTAGGGGAAAATAAAAAGGGTTGTTTGGTAGAGAGGACAGAACAGAATGGGGAAACGTAGTAGAAGCCCTTTTTTATGAGGGGATGAAGAAAAAAAAAAAGAAATGTAATGACAAGAAGGTGGCACCACGATGAGAGAGAGAGAGAGAGAAAGTGTCATTCAAGAATCTCTGCATTACTCGTACCAACGCACAATTAAAGTGCCATTTGGGGTCGCTTCCCATTGTTTGCTCTAAGTACCGATCAAGAACAAAAGGAAGTCACCAGGACAAAGGGAAGTGTTGACTATTTAAGCGGTTGCTCTCTCTGTCTGTCAGATGCATTTACTACGATTTACAACACTGTCAATGAATGCATTTGAAGGAAAACTTAGAACGTTTTCAATCGTCCTGCATCATTTGCACTTTCAACATAAGCACTTTGACAAATAATGATTTTATTTAAATATATATTTCATAATCATTAATAAGAATAATATTCACGAAATAAATAATTTAAAAATATGAATTTTTCAATAAAATAGAAACATTTTTAAATAGAAAAGAAATGACACGTTTGGTAAAAAAAAAAACATACCACGCACCTTCTTTGTTTATGTCGACCGTCGTCGGTTCGTTTGGATCTTATACTTTTGTCGCATACCTACGTGTTTATCTCTGTTTATTCTTTTACACTTCTATCGCTCCTACCTACAAACATTTCGAGTATCGAAAGAATATGTGTGTTTACGCTTTGTAGTATGCAGTCGCACTCAAACACACACACACATATACAATCAGGAGCGATAACTACGAAGCATAGCATAAAGAGGAGACCGAGAATAGGAAAAACTGTACAGCTATATTCCGTCTCATTCCGTCGCATTCTAAATCCTATGTTTGTCTCTTTTTCTCTCATTATTTAGTATTGCAACCGTTTCATAGCTTCGTTACATAGCTCCGTTTCCGTTTATTTACTTTTCAGATGAGTCCCATTCTAAAGAAGTTTTCACTTCAATAAAACAAAAAAAAGGCACGTTAGCGCACGTGTATGACTCACTACTCACCTTTGTGAGTCGGCAGAGGATGAAACGGCCAACCATCGGTGATTGGAAGAGACGATAGTAGGAATGCTAGAGGAAAAGTAAAGAGTAGGTAGCAGTAAGATCTTCGTCTTCTTCGTCTACGACGACGACGGGGCCTGTGATGGGCCTTATCCTCTCCCTCCTCTTCCTCTTCCCCTTCTTCCTGGGCGGAACAACGGCTGCTCGGCATCGCACGTTTTTCTCGTCCCCCGGCAACTATTCTTCCACTTCTTCGTATTATTCGTTCGTGTTTTCTTTTAATGGCGCTATCTGGTGCTTTTCGTCGAACAGCCGAGCACCGCACTTGTGGAGTCACCCACCGAGCTCATCTCCTCTTTCACCTTTTCCCTTCTTCCCCCCTTCACCTTCACCACCACCACCACCACCACCAAAACCACCAACACTACTACCACTACCACAACCACCTTTTCCTCTTCTTCTTCTTCTTCTTCTTCTTCACCTTCTCTCCTACCCCTTTCAGGGTCACTCAACCTTTCGATCCTTCTTCTTTCTTTCCCCTTCACTCCTCTTCCTCCATACTCTCCTCCACCTCTTCTTCCTCCTTCTCCTCCTACTCCTTTTCCTTTCTTCCACCTCGAACGTCTTTTTCAACCGGTTCTATCTTTTTTCTTCTTCTTCTTTCTCTTCTTCTTCTTCTTCTTCTTCTTCTTCTTCTTCTTATCCACCACCTCCTCTTTCACCTCCTTCTTTTCCTTTCTTTTCCTCTTTCTATTACTCCTACTCCTTTTTCTTCTTCTTTTTCTTCTTGTTGTAGCTGTTGATGCTTAGAGTACCTCTTGCAAGACTGCTTCAAGATATCAATGCTGAAAAATAAAGGAAACGATGTGAAACTCTCAAATTCGTCGTCTAGACTTCATCTTTCTTGTTCCTATACTCTCTCAATATTCTGTAGTTCTATATATAGATACTTTTTAAGTATTGCAATTTTTCTTCACAAATATTCCTATATATATTTATATACGTATGCATGTATTTTCTTAGCAAATAAACATTCTATACTTATATATGTATGTGTATGGATATTTTGTAGGAGGACAAACATAATATTTATATACACATATATATGTGTGTACTATTCATGCGTGTTTTAACGTATATATATATATATATATATATATATATATATATATTATTATTATTATTATTATATAATATATATTATATTATTTTGTATAATTTATATATTATGTTTAGTGTTTTATGTTATATTATTGGTTTGTAAAAAGTACTAAATTAATATATTACTAATGGTTTTTTTTTAAATATATATATATATAATAATTAATGTATATAAATGTGTTTCATTTAAATGATAATAATAACAATAATAATAATTATATATATTATCAATTACTTGCAGGTATTATTTAAAAGCTTATCGTTCCTAATTCTACTCGTTTGTTCTTTCTCATAAACGTTGCAGTAAAAAAAAAATTTAAAACAAAAAAAACAAATAATAATAATAATAATAATAATAATAATAATAATAATAAAAGAAAAAAACGTCGCATGCAAACATAATAGTACTAAGGTAAGGTAATACACGGTTTATTTCTGTCACGATCGCATAATCGCAGTTGTAAATCTTTTCAACGATATCACCGACGTGTACGGGTCAGAGTTAAAATGATATGTCACGTTAAATACATTTTATTTTAAATTAACGACAATTCTAATGTTTAAAAAAAGTATATACATTTGATTACTTTTTTTTAGTATTATTAACATGTTTTTGTGACAATGTATTTAAGTATGCATAAGTACATGTACATGTACATGTGTAATCTGTAAATCGATATTATCTATCATGGAATTAATCTACAATCTAAATTTACTAAAATTTGTACCACCAGTACACACACACATATATATATAAATATTTAATTTATCTTTCAATTATATATATATATTATATAATATATAATAATAATATAATATAGTATAATAATAATTATATAATAATAAATATATATAATTATATATTATATATAT